CTGCTTAATATGTATGTCATATTTTAAGTATTCTCATTATATTAACTAATTTAACCCTTACAACAACCTTATGAAGTCAACCTTATGAACTTGCCCAGGATGACCTAGCTAGTAAATTGTAGAGCCAGGGTTCAAACCCAGGCAACCTGACTCCAGAGTCCATGCTTTGCTACCACTACTTAATGTTGCCTCCCTTCTCTCCACTGTCTCTCCCCCACCAACATTTAAACATCAAATAAAGTATCCACCAAAAACCACTACCACCACTTCCCTCTATCCTGTATTAATTACTGTCCTATTCTCTCCTGTCCTTCATGGACAACCTAAGGGTCACTGTACTGTCTCTTCTCACAGCCCACTCCAGCCTTGCTGACACCCCCACTACCGCATTGAGGACCTAGGTCACCAAGGTCCTCCTTGTTGCTAAGTCTAATATATACTTTGCAGTCCTCATCTTAATTCTTGGCAGCATTTGCTATTAAGCAGTGTCTTCTTCATGAGAAACTTTCATTTCTCAAAATGAAATTACCTCAAAATCTTCTGATTTTCCCCTCCATCTCTGGATATTACTTCTCTTAACATTCAGAGTTCCTCAGAGCTCTCCCACTTTACACACACTTCCTGGACAATTTTGTCCATCCCCTTGGTTTCAAAGGCCAACTATGCTGAAGGCTCCCCATTCTAAGACATTAGCCCAAGTTTCTCCTAAATTCCAGACCCATTTATCCAGCTGACTACTACATAGCACCACTTCATAAACCATAAGCTTCCCAACCTGAATGCATCTTCTTCCCTCTATACTGATCCTCCTCCTGTTTTCAGTCAATGAGATCACAGGTGACTTAGTTGCCCAAAAAGGAACCTGGATTCTCTCACTCCACATATTTAGTTACCAGGTCCTGTCTTTACAATCTCTCTCAAATCCCTTTCTCTATCTCCACATCTTTAATTCAGGCTACCATTCTCTCACTTGGACTCATCATGTCAACAGTTCCTAACTCCAACTCACCATGGACCCATTGTTTATACTGCAGCCCAAGCATTTTTTCAAAAATGCAAATGTCATTCATTCATTCATTTAAAAAACCTCTCAATGGCTTCCCGTCACCATACTTCTTAATTTTACTAAGCGGATCATTCATGTTCTTACCCCTGCTTACCTGTATTGTCGTATCTTGAACACCTTCCCCCTCATACTTCACACATCAGCCACATTGAATATTTTTCCGTTCTTGGAACCTCCCACCCTTTCTCTTTCAGGCCTTTATATATGCAGAGAGAACTCTGCAAATATAAGGGGTCTCTGCCTGTCACTCTTCTCCTTCCTTTTAGCCTGTCTCCTTTATGTTCTTTAGGACTCATCTAGAAAGCCTTTACTGATGGAAGTTGGACTGGGTGTTAAGTACCCATCCTCTGTACTTCCACAGTACTCTACTTCCCCAGTTCCCATGTTCATGTTATCAAATACTTCCCAGTTTTTGCTATTATCAGGCTATATAGGCAGAAACAATTATCTTCTGCTCACTACTGTCTAGCAAGAAAACATTTACTAGGTGCTGGGTAAAGTTTAGTTTAGTGAATCAACAGGAGCCTAAGTCCAAGGAGAGATAAGGGAGTGGGTTCCAAGGAATTATTTGCTTTGTGGCATTAAGCAACTGCCCTCACCGTTCTGGGTCTTACTTCCTTCTGTGGGATGTGGTTATCCTTTTCTGCCTCATTCCTACCCAATGAATCTGTTAAAGATTCCCTATTGGGTCAGTGTCACTCTCCTGCCTAGTTTTCAGATGTTCCCTATGACCCACAGGAAAAGTCCAGAGACCTCTGCTGCTATCTGGGCCTATCATTCAGCTGGCAGCCACGTGCTGCCCCACCACATCCTATTTTCTGTTTTGTGACTTCACCCTGACTGACGCTTGAGGGCATGGCCCAGTACAGTAGCCATCAGTTTGCTGGTTACCTGAGGAAAAAGCAAGATGATGGATCAATAGTTGAGACAAATGATTTTAAATCTGATCCAAAGCTTAAGAAACTTCGTAGTTATCAATAGAAATATTTGGAGTTGTCTCTGAATGTTACTCCTGCTGGCACTCCCACACGACTGACCTAATCTCTTTCCTGCCATAGGCCTGGGCTCTAACATCTTTCGCCTGCTGGACAGCCTGCGGGCCCTGTCAGCCCAGGCTGGATGCCGACTCCGTGCCCTGCATCTCAGTGATCTGTTCTCACCACTGCCCATCCTGGAGCTGACACGTGCCATTGTGCGAGCCCTACCCCTGCTGCGGGTCCTCTCTATTCGTGTCGACCACCCCAGCCAGAGGGACAACCCTGCTGTGCCAGGGAATGCAGGGCCCCCTAGCCACATAATTGGGGATGAGGAGATACCAGGTGAAGCAGTGTGTGTGCATGTGTGTGTGTCTCCACACAAATGTGCAGGTGCATTTGTGTGGGGAAGCTGGGAAGACCTCTAATCCAGGCCTGCCACCACTCATTCCTGGTTTATCTGGAATCTGTTCCCTCTTTAGGGCCTACTGTTCTTAAAGATAACCAGACTGGACAGGGCCCAGACCACCACAGCCCAGTAGGGAGTATCCATGGCAGATGAGTTTCCAGAGAAGGGGTCTGAACCAAGAACAAAACTGTTAGACTAGATTGGGTCTCCCTGAGTATGTTCCCTTAGTTCCTGTTCTATCTCCTATCCCACCACTCTGCATACTCTATTATATTTGCTGGTGTCTGAGTACTCTAGTCTTCTGGACTAAAAGCTCCATAAAGGAAAGGACTAAATCTCATATTTGGTGCTCTATTCCCACAACCTAGCATAGTGCCTAGCATATAGTAGGCACTCAAGGACAAGTAGATGAATAAATGAGTTTTTAGTGAGTCTCTTAAGGAGGATGGAAACTCCAATGGGACTGAAGTAGATGGGCAGCTGGAATCTTCTCTCCCTACCACATCCAGAAAACTGCCTGGAACAGTTGGAGATGGGATTTCCACGGGGAGCCCAGCCAGCCCCACTTCTCTGCTCCGTACTGAAGGCCTCAGGTTCTCTGCAGCAGCTGTCCCTGGATAGCACCACCTTTGCGTCTCCCCAGGACTTTGGGCTTGTGTTGCAGACACTCAAAGGTAGGACCCAGCTAGAATGGTAAAGGGAGGAGGAGACCCTGCATTGTTCTTGGGGAAAGCTAAGGCCCATGGCCTCTGCCCCCATCCAGAGTACAATCTAGCCCTGAAGAGGCTGAGCTTCCACGACATGAATCTGGCTGACTGTCAGAGCGAGGTGCTCTTTTTGCTACAGAATCTGACTCTTCAGGGTAAGTTCTTCATCCAGAACCTGAGGCATTCTTGGGTCCTCACTGTGGCTCTGCTACCATCCCACTGAGTGAGCAAGCCAGTTATTTTCTTGGCCTTATGTCCTCAACTATAAAATGGTTATAGAACCTGCGCAACCTTCCTTCTAAAGGGTCCCAAACTCAACTCCTCCTATAATAAACACGGGAAATTACTCACTTTTAGGGTGCCTCACCTAAAAGTTTCTTACCTTTCAACAGCTGACAGAAGTGATGGTGGTGGGGAGGGATAAATGTGCTGTCAGGCTCCCCTCATAGACTCGTCTCTAATCCCCACCCCTGCAGAGGGCAGTCAGTGGATAGAAAGAAAGAAGTGAATGGAGAATTGTCCGTGCAGAGAACCTCCCTACAGTGAACATTTAGGCTTAGTCTCTGGTTTGAATCCTGATTTAGTTCCAGCCTTGCTTGGAGTCTTAGACAAATTCCTCTCTTTTGGGCCTCTCTAAAACGTCCACACCCCTTGCTAAGGCCAACTAGGGCAGGAGGGGCAGCACCAGTCCTAATGCAGCCATCAGAATGTATTCTAATTTCTCTTGACAGAGATTACCTTCTCCTTCTGCCGTCTGTTTGAGAAGCGCCCAGCCCAATTTCTGCCTGAGATGGTTGCTGCTATGAAGGGCAACTCCACACTGAAGGGCCTCCGGCTGCCAGGGAACCGCCTGGGTGAGGGCAGGGCCCTGGGGAGGGAAAGGGAGAAGGAGCCAATCCCTTGACCTAGAAACTCAGTGGGTGAAGGCGTAGACCTCTCCACTGGGAACGTGAGGGTTGGAATATAGTTGTGTGCCGGGGCTTCTCCCCAGCCAGAATTGGGTTGAGATTCCTTGTTCCCTGTTCTTGAGTGGAGGTGACAGGCATTTCACCCCTTCTCCCTAGGGAATGCTGGCCTGCTGGCCCTGGCAGATGTTTTCTCAGAGGATTCATCCTCCTCTCTGTGTCAGCTGGACATCAGGTACATGTAGGAGGTGGGGGACAAGGGATGGAGCCACAGGGACATAGACCAGGGATTAGCTGCTTCCTGGGTGTCTAATCCATTTCACCCCTACCAGTTCCAACTGCATCAAGCCAGATGGGCTTCTGGAGTTTGCCAAGCGGCTGGAGCGCTGGGGCCGTGGAGCCTTTGGTCACCTGCGCCTCTTCCAGAACTGGCTGGACCAGGATGCAGTCACAGCCAGAGAAGCCATCCGGCGGCTGCGCGCCACCTGCCACGTGGTTAGCGACTCGTGGGACTCATCCCAGGCCTTCGCAGATTATGTCAGCACCATGTGATGGGGCCCATGCCTCACAGGCCCATGCTCAGTACCATCAGCTTGCAGGGGCTGAGGCATGGGCTGCCCAGAACTCCCAACCACCAATTCTGTCTTTCTCTTTCTGCCACCTTTTTTCCTTCTTCCCTTGCACTGAGGTCCTGGAGGCCTTGATGGGGCCCAGCAAAGGCATTCCCACAACTGGGTTTAGAGCCTTTGGGCCCCTTACTCAGTATCCTGGGAACCCTGGGCCAAGAGGTTACAGTGGTCATCAGTTGCCCTCCCCCTGCCCTGAGGTTCCTGCTTTCCTTCCTCAGGCAGGTACCCACCCAGGCTTTAGAGAAGTATAGGAGTGCCCATTACCAGGCCTCTTCTCTGCTGGGCTCACCATGCTGCTCCCAGGCCTCAGTCCCTTTCATACCTTTATTCCTTTCTTTTTTTTAACCAAAAAAGTTTTTCTTATAAAATAAATTTTGGGCAAACATCATGCAGCCCTCTTGATGGTTTTTCTCCCAGAGAACAAAATTCAGCAGGGCCCTATGGGGCAGGGAGCCCCTTTTCCCTGTCTTCTCTAAGAGCTACACCCAGACCAGCTGGTTATTAGCAGAGGCCCCGCTGCTCCTCATGGGAACGCTGGTGGAAGACGAAGGTGATGGCAGTGGAGGCAGCATCCCAAGCAGCTTGGAGTACCTCATCCTTGAGCCCCCGCTTATCAGTGCTGTGGTTCCACTGAGCCAGGTCTGATGTGCAGTCAGAACCATCAGGGGGTGGCCTGACCTGGTGGCTGTTGACACAACGGCGGCAGCGTAACCTGGTGGCAGAGGACAGAGCTGTGGTCACTATAGATCCCATCTCCATGCTGTGCAGGGAGTCCAGGGGTAATGGCCAGCCAAGGGCACTCTACCCACCTGTCATGTGTGTCACTGAGGCTAGCCTCATCCAGGGTAAACAGCTCCTTCAACTCGCCCAGAGAGAAGTGGCGCTCCACATCCTGCTCCTCATCCACCACACAGCTGCTCAGTGCCTTCTTGTGGCTCTGACGCTGAAAGATCTTCTCCTCAATGGTTCCCGCCTGCGGGGGGGCAGGGGAGGAGGGGCGGAGCCAGGAATGCAGAGCTAAGTCATCCCCATACACAGAGGGCAGGAAAACCCATGGGTTGAAACTATAGGCAGCCAAGAGAAGGCAAGATGAATGAAAAGAGTCCTGTAGCAATACCTCTGCTCAGCTGAATCAATTTTCCCAGTTTATCTCTTGGGACCGACCATGACTTCTGCATGTCTGCCCACCCAGGATATTTTCTGTAACAATGGAGGATTTCAGGGCCTGGCTAAATTCCTTCAGTGTGAGCTGAGGTTTGTCTGCAGCAGCTTCACCAGACCTCTTTACCAAGCCAAAGTCTCACTCACTATCATCTGGGTATCCTATGCCAGGCTCTGTGCTAACACTAGGATACAGAGAAGAATCAAATATGACTCCTGTTCTTGAACTCATAGACTAGTGGGAGAGACAGATATATAAACTACTTGGTACAATGATAGAAATATGCATAGGATACCCAGGGGCCCACAAGAGGGATGGTAGAGTAAAAGTGTTAAAAAGCTTAAATGTAAAGATTATCCTTGGGGCTGGCCCCGTGGCCAAGTGGTTAAGTTCACACGCTCTGCTGCGGTGGCCCAGGGTTTCGCTGGTTTGGATCCTGGGCACGGACATGGCACCACTTGTCAGGCCACGTTGAGGCAGCGTCCCACATGCCACAACTAGAAGGACCCACAACTAAAATATACAACTATGTACTGTGGGATTTGGGGAGAAAAAGCAGAAAAAAAAAAAAAAAAAGATTGGCAACAGTTGGTAGCTCAGGTGCCAATCTTTTAAAAAAAAAAGATTATCCTTGAGCTGAATCTTGAAAATTGAATAGATGGTTTACAAGAAAAGAGAGAAGGGAAGGCATTCCCAGCATAAGAGAAAAGGAATAAGCCTGGCCTACTGGAGGACTGTGAGGAGTGCAGCCTATCTAGAGGATGGTGGGAGGGTAGTAACAGCTGGGACTGAGCAAGTCAGCAGAGGCCATATTGGAGAATCTTGGATGCCATTGGCCTTGTTCTGGAAGTGAGGAAAAGCAAAATCAGAATTTTTGGAAAGCTCATTCTGGAAGCAGTATGTGAAGAATGGAACCCCATGGAGCCAGAGCTACTTAAGGTAAAGAATTAGGAAGCTGCTACAATATCTAAGTGAGAGATGATTGTGACCTTAGTTTAGCATGGAATAGAGACGAAAGTTAGATTAAGAAAATTTAGTAAGGTAAAATCAATGGTAATTGGAATCTGGCTGTTCGGAGACAGAGAATGATCCAGTAGGATGATGCCCAGATTTGGGTTGGGTAGATAAGGGAGCCATTAGATGACAGAATTCAGAAGGGGAATGAGTTTAGTCATGATGCATCTAAAGTGCTCATAAGACAGTCAAGTGGAAATGTACAGTCAGTGATGGAAATATATGTCTAGAACTCAGGTAAGAGATCTGGGCTAAAAATTTAGTTAGAGATTTGTCAATATAATGAGTATATGTAATCACAGAGGTAGGAAAACCAGAGTGGAGTTTCCAAAGAGAAAAGAATTTTAAAAGTAGTAGTCAACAGTGTCAGATACACAAAGAGGAAAAATCAAGAGTCTCTTGTTTTAGCAATTAGGAAGCCAACAGTACATTCAAAAGCAGGTTCAGTGGCATAAGTGGTCTTATGAGTAAGTAGAAGATGAGTAGGTGAAGTTATCTGTAGGCTTTGGAAAAATATGAGAGTGAATGAATGGAAGGTAACCCAAGGTAGTGGCTAGAATAGGACAGAGGGTTGAGAAATTGTTTTGTTTTCAAGGTGAGAGCTACTTGAGCATGTTTAGACTTTGAGGGAAAAAAAAGAAATCGATCAACTAAGAAAGGAAAGGATGGGAAGGGGTCTAGAGCCGAATTGGAGTGATAAGCCTCAGACAGAGGAAAGAAATGAACTTCCTCTGAGATGGAAAGGGAAGAGCAGGTGTAGAGATTTACAGAAGAAAGGAAGGGAGGCGAGAGAATGCAAGCCTGATAGCCTACATTTTCTCTGTGAAGCAGAACACAAAGTCTCTGCAGAAAGAGTGAGAGACAGGGTTAGGTAGGCAACCTGAGCGAAGTGGTGAATGCTTGAAGTGGCTGTTGAAGGAAATGAGATACGACCCAGCCCAAAATGGAGAAAATCTGTGGTAGCGCCAATCCGTAAACGCAAATTTTATCTAGTGCAGAAGCTGAGAACAGCTGTAATGATCCATGTGGAGTAGATATTAGGGAAAGAGTGGCTGAAAGGATACACAGTGAGGATCAGACTGAATAGAAAGGGAAGTCAAGCCAGACTAGGGGGACGTACTAGGGACATGAAGTTGAAGCAGATGTAGGAGGTATAAGAAAGCTGGAAAAACAGAAGTAAGAGTAGAATGATAGCTATTCAAGTTTTCGGTACTGTGTAAAGTTTTGGTACTGTTAAAGTTCCAGAGTGTAGCCTTGGGAGTAATTAAATGAGGAGTTAAGGAGGTCCTTAGAGATGAAGTCAAGGAAACATGAAGGCCAGAGTGCTGGATGGTCCCTGAAGTCCTCCAGGATGATAGCTGGATTTGGGGAAGAAATGAAGACTGAGCTGATATCTGAGTTCATCAATGAATTAGGAAAATAGCAGAGAGTAGATGACTACAGCGGGGAAGAAAAGGAGTGGTCAAGTCAAACAACATGAGCGTCAAAAGAGAAACTACAGGATGGATGGTCTAAGTGATCACTGAGAACTTGGAGACTGCTAATACCACTTCTTAGCCCCATGGGACATGGAGTGTGAGAAGACGACAAAGCAAGTAGAAATCAGGTACGAGGGAAAGCAGGTGTCCTGTGTAAAGGATGAGGCCACAGGGGAATTTAACTATTGAACACGTGTCCAGAGGGCACAGTAAGAAGAATGTGAGGGAATGGGGTGGAGAGAGGAGAGAAGAGAAGAATAAGAGGTCCAGGCTAAGCCCATAGCCTGACCACTGCTAGAGGCAGAGGGGCCAAAGACAGGCAGTGAGAAACAACCCAAGGTGGTCCTGAAGGTCTTGTCCCATGACCCACCCCTACTTTAACCACAATCACCATCCTTACAGACAGCAGGCGATAGATATAGCAGGTCTTCTTTTGACCGTCACGCCAGACCCGGGCCATGGCTTGTTCATCATTGGCCGGGTTCCAGTCAGGGTCAAACATGACCAGTCGGTTAGCCCCAATGAGATTGAGGCCACAGCCCCCAGCTTTGCTGCTCAGCATGAAGACAAAGTCAGGGCTCTAGAGAGGAAGCAAGAGAAAAAGAACCTCTTGCAGCCTGAAGTGGAATCCTACACAGCCCAGCCAACTGTTCTCTCACACATCTGTACTCTTATGCTCAGACCAGTTGTGAGCACCACCAGTTTGCCTACCAGCCAATTTCCCAGCCCACAAAGTCAGTTCCCAGCCCAGCCATCACCAACCAGCCTAACCCTGCCACACCCACCAGAAAAAAATCAAAGGAGTCTCTAAAGCAGAGCCCCCTTATAGCTTCTCTATCAACCCTTAATTCCGTTGTGCCTGCATTGGTGATGTGAGGACAGGGGCTCTGCATTTACCAACGGATTGTTGAAGCGCTCCACAACCTTGGCTCGCTTCTTAATGGACATTGTGCCATCCAAGCGGACATACAAGTACCTGAAGGGGAACCCAAAGATCAAAACCCAAGAAGGAAGCAGAACCCCATGGAGCCAGAGCTACTTAAGGGACTGAACCAACCATGCTTTAGGCTGTTCACACACAGCCCAAGGCCCTAAACTCCCAAAGGGAGGAGCAGGGAGCTAGGGGCCAGGACTCTGTCCTGTGGGAGTACCTGAAGGACCAGGGGCTATTCTGCTTGGAGATGGAGCTGGGGTCACTGCAGCAAGAAGGGCACAGACATCTTCTGAGAAGTTCCTCCTGCACCCACATCTTGGCCCATATTCACCAATCAGAACACCTACTCTTTCTAGGGGGACAGTAGAGGAGGCACCCCTTGGCAGGCTGGTTAGGCTCTTCCCTACCTTCGGGCCCGGCAGAGCTTCTCAAAGAGGTCCAATGTCTGTGTATAATTGGACACCAGCACTACTTTGTCATTGCCACGGCTTCGGGTCACCGCCAGAATGTAATCAAGGACCAGCATCTTACCTGGGGAGATCAGCAAACATTAGCCCCCCATAGGCCATCACGATAGTTCAGGATTCTTACTCTTGATCTCCTGCCTGGAGACAGGATAGGTCTAGCACAAAGAGACAATCTCCCACCCCTCCTCCCAGAGGAACCCAAAGACTTTAGGAAAGGGCTCACCTGACAGCTGGGGCTCTAGAGCCTTGGAGCTATAACCAGGGGGGAATATGTCCAAGGCACCTTCAAAGCCATCTTCCTCTTCCACACACTTATCATAGATCAGAGCTGGATCTGAAAAAAAAAACCCAAAATGCCAGCTACATTGCTTTTGGAAGTTTCCACTTTAATGCTCATTAGAACCCCATCTGGAAGCCTACCCAGAAGACCTTCCTCAGCCCCAGGCTTGCTTGGCCCCAAATTCCAGTGTGCAGTCAGTACCACCTGGGACCATGAGTGGACAATCTTGTTCACTAATGTGTTCTCCCAACAAGAAGGGAGCTCTACCAGAGAGGGCAAGGTTTGCTATTTTTCCTCCTGTTCAACATTTTATATGCACGTGTGCACGTGCGCGCGCGCGCGCGTGCGCACACACACACACACACAGGCACAGTCCTATATACCCCAAGCATCAAGCATGGGCTGGCAGAGGTTAAGCAAAATTTCCAAAGCGAAGGGTCTGCTCTACAGAGTATACAGTGCAGAGCTCATGCCTCAGGGAGGGCTGGAATCACATGTGGCCTCTTTGAGGACTCTGGACAAGTTTTTCTTGCTTGCTCTCACAGAGGACTCCAGACAGACTGAACTCACGATTACATAGCTTCTTCAGTGAGGTGATGGAAGAAAGGGAAGACACACTCATTTTGCCCTCTCGCAACTCTTCTGCTGGCTTGGCCTGTCTCAGAAACTTCTTGTATAACTCATTCTGAAGAGGTGTCAGCCTAAAAAAAAAGGCAGCTGGGTCAGTGGGAAAGGCTGGACCACACTTCTACCCTGAGGACACCTTCAGAGCCCAGCCAGGCCTCAGGGGCTGAGCTTTTACTCACTCACTCCACACCCCTCAGTTGAGTTCAGTACCTACAACAAACCACCTGCTCAATCTTCACAGGCAAATATTTAGAAAGGATATCAGATGTCCTCCGTATCAGGCACCTGGGGAGAACAGGATAAAAAGGTCAGGGGCTGATAAAACTGCCACGCTAATTACTGGAATACAAGCTACCACCCAGAGGACCAAGTCTGACTCTCTTCTGTAGTATCAAATGTCAGAGACCCATTAGCCCTACGGCATAGATATCCAAATCAGGGTCTCAGTCATGGAAATAGAGACCCTTTCAAGCAGTCTAGCTTAGACTGACAACTCTTCCCCTTCCCCTTCAAAAGCTTAGCTAATCTTCAAGAGAAGGCCAAGGTTTCCCATTGTCCAAGGTTTCCGACAGGGACAGCAAGGGGCAAACCACTAAGTCCTTAGGGAAGTTTCTGTTTGTATTTGCCCAAATGCTTGCTGCCACATGGCCCGAGGCTCAATGAAATTAACCCATACCTCCTGGCAGACCAGGAAGGACAGGGATCAGGCACCTCAGAAGTAGCTCCTAGGAACACCGTGACTCTCCTTCCTGCCATCTAAAATTGAGGGAGAGGTGGCCAGGCAGTTGGGAAGGGCAGGACTCTTTAGGATATAAGCCATCAAGTGCATATACCTACAACAGAGGAGTGCAGAATGTGCCTGCCCCCTAGGCTATGTGGCCCCCATGGAGAAAGCTCTCTCAGCCTGGGAGCCACACTCGTCCTTCGGATCTACTCCTACCTGTGGCAGAAGACTACAAGGCCTGGGAAAGAAAGCCTGGTGCTTTAGATCTGAGACTGACTGACAGCAAGCTTCTATAGTACTAATAATGCTCCAAGGGATATTTTGCTCAGGAAGTCCAGCAGCATCAGAAAAGAGCTTCCTCAGCAGGTTGCTAAGCAGCCCAAAATCAGACCACAGGCCCAAGCCAGGAAGAAAGCATTGAATTAGCCTGTAAGACCCTTTCATTTATTCAGTAGCTATGGTCAGAGCACAAATCTCACTCTCTTCCTAGAATCCCAGCCCTCAAAGGCCAAGGCCCCAAAAGATTGGCCTTGGATGGCTTAGGAGGCAATTTTGACAACCTAACTCAGGGAGGCCCAAAGAGAGGTGCTACTGTCTAGCCCAGCTCCCACCCTGCTATTACCTATTCACAATGCTGGTGAGCTCCCGAAGTCGTTCCTCTCCTAGGTGCCTGTCTGCCTCACTAGCAGCTGCATCTCGACCCTTCAAAATTGGCAACTCAAAATGCTTCTTGAACTCGTGGGCAGTTCCTAAGCATAAGAGAGAAGGAAAAATTACAGCATTAAAGAATGTGGGAAAGGAATGATTTTCCCACTGCCAGTAATGACAGACTACTTTGTTACAGACCAACCTTCCTGCCAAGAACAAAAAGAGTGAACAAATTACAAGCAATTTCTGTTTGAATTGATCAGTGAGCTACCAAAGCAGTGAAGACTTGAAAGGCCAAATAGTGAGATAGTAGATTAAAACCCAAAAATATAACCAATTACATTAAATATAAATGGACCAAATAATCCAATTAAAAGGCAGCTCAACTGTCAGACTGGATTTTTTTTAATGCCTACCTATATGCTGTGCTCTTTATAAAAAATGTAGTATGTATCAGTACAATGAAGTACTGATACCTGCTACAACGTGGATGACCCTTGAAAACATTATACTAAGTAAAAGAAGCCAAACACAAAAGGTCACATATGGTATGACTGCATTTATATGAAACTTCCAGAACCAGCAAATCCAAAGAGACAGAAAGCAGATTGGTGGTTACTAAGGGTTGGGGTAATGGGGGATAGGGAATGACTGCATAATGGATATAGGCTTTTCTTTTGGCCAGGAAAAAAAATGGTCAGGTACCTCACAAAAGAGGATCTCCAAATGGCCAGTGAGCATATTAAAAGGTGTTCGACTTTATTCAACATTAGCTAAGTGCAATGAGGAGATATCACAAACACCATAATGAGTAAAATTAAAAAATTTCTTTTAAAGAAAATAAATATTGATGACAATATAGAACAGAGATCATCCAACTACAGCCATGCACCAGCTACCTATTTCTCTAAATAAGGTTTTATTAGAACACAGTCATGCCCATTCATTTACATATTATTTATGGCTGCTCTCATGCCACAATAGCAGAGCTGAATAACTGTGACAGAGACAGTATGACCTATGAGCCTAAAATACTATATAACCAAGAAAAAATTTGCTGACCCCAGATGTAGAGACACTGGAATTCTCATGCAGTGCTGGTACAATCACTTTGGAAAACTGGAATATCTACTAGAGCTGAACACATGCATAATTTATGACTCAGCAAGTCTACTCATAGGACAGAGAAATGCATACTTAACCAAGAGAAATGCATACTATGCTCATGTAAAAACATCTACAAGAATATTCACAGCATCACTATTCAAAATAAAAAACTAGAAACAACTCAATTGTCTATCAACAATGGAATAGATAAATTCTGGTATATTCATAAAATGGAATAGCATAAAAAAATAAAATGAACAAACTACTGCTACATGCAACAACATGGATGAATCTCATAAATATAATGTTGAACAAAAGAAACCAGATGCAAAGGAATATATACTGTATGATTCCATTCATATAAAGTTCAAAAATAGGCAAAAACCAATCTTGAGTGTCAGGAGAGTGTATACTTCTGGGGAAAAAGGAGAGTAGTAATTAAAAGGGGACGCTGCTGAGATGGTGGTAGTAATTGATCTGGTGGTGGCTACACAAGTGTGTTCACATGGTGAAAAATCCTGCTGCTCAGCCTGTTCTCTACCTAAAGTAATTTCCTGAGCACTGGCAAGTTGAGGTGGCACTGACAAACCCTTCCACAGCTATCTACATGCAAGAGTTGCCCAAAGTGTAGCTGCCAGGAGCTAGAGGGAGTAGGAAATGGGGAGTTATTGTTTAAAGGGTAGAGTTTCAGTTTTGCAAAATAAACAAAATTCTTGAGATGGAGAGTGGTGACAGCTGTACAACAATGTGAACATACTTAATGACACAGAATAGTACACTAAAGAATGGTTTAAAAAAAAAATCAGGGGCCAGCCCGGTGGCACAGTGGTTAAGTGCACTTAAGGGCTAATCTTCCAAAAAAGGCAGGGAGGGCTGGTCCAGTGGCATAGTGGTCAAATTCAGCTTGCTCCACTTCGGTGATGTGGATTCACAGGTTTGGATCCCAGGCGTGGACCTACACCACTCATCAAGCCACACTGTGGCAGTGTGGCAGCAACCCACGTACAAAATAGGGGAAGACTGGCACAGATGTTAGCTCAGGGCCAATCTTCCTCAAGCAAAAAAAAAGGGAGAATTGGCAACAGGTGTTAGCTCAGGGCTGCTCTTCCTCTCTCACACACACACACACACACACACACAAAAACTGCCCAAGACAGAGTCTGCTCTGAGGCCAAAGTTTTTGTGGGGCAGCCAGGATGTGATGAGCACAATTGCCTGGGGGTAGTGTTTCCATCCCCAGCTCACAATGACACCATGCCCTGCATAGGCCCTGCCACCTCTGCAGTGGAAAAATGGCCAGAGTGGGCCATTCTTGCTGAGTTGCTCAGCAGAGCCAAGGTCACCCAACGACTTTGCTACTCCCTGACAAGAGAAGTCTTCCTACAAGAGTGCCTAGTGACCCACTAGCTCTCCTCAGCTTGAGTTACATTCCCAAGGCCACGGCAAGGCTCCTCTCCAATGTAGCAGACAAGGCTGCATTCTTACCCAGGATGCCTGAATTAACAAAATGTACCAAGCTGAAATACTCAAGGAGATCATTCTGGATGGGGGTCCCGGAGATGAGCACCCGCCGGCTGGTGTTCAAGCTGTCCAGGGCCTGGTAAGTCTGATTCTCAGAGTTCTTGAGCCTGTGTCCCTGCAAAGAAATCAGTTCTCACTTAGGCCTGGACACAATGTGACATCCCCAATGGTGGCAGTCTTGTGTATACAGGAAAAGAGGAATCATAAACATTACAGGTCCTGGGGCTTTGGGAAGTGAGCAGGCAGCATCAAGAGTGAGAGTGTACCGGCTTGCTTAGGGAAAAACATCAGGCTCAAGAGACAGACCTTCAGTTTCCAGACCAGTACTACATCCAGAAAGCAAGGATTGTTTCCTCCCCTCTTCTTCCCTGCCCCAACCTCCAGAGCCTTAGCAGCCTGCCTATCCTCTTCAGAGATCCTGCAGCCACATTAGAGACCTGTGCTTTCAGGGAATCCTCCCTCCCCACCAGCCCAACCAATCCAGAACCTCCTGAGCCAGATGCCTTCTACATTAGTCTCAGGCCAAGTCTGGGCTGTCAGTGCTAAAGGGACTTGGCCCAGGCTCCTCCTCTCTTCCCACAGAACCCACACAGCTCATATATCTAAAGAGTCTCTCTGACTCCCTTTGCATCTCTTCCCCAATCCCTATTCTCCCTGTCACCCACCCCACCACCATACACACCTCTGTTACTTCTCTCTTTTAAGTGTTTTTTTTGTTTTGTTTTGTTTTGTTTTGCTGAGGAAGACTGGCCCTGAGCCTATCTTCCTCCACTTCATATGTGGGATGCCTACCACCGCATGGCTTGCCAAGCGCTGCCATGTCCACACCTGGGATCCGAACCGGCAAACCCCGGGCCGCTGAAGCGGAATGTGCGCGCTTAACTGCTGTGCCACTGGGCCGGCGCCTCTTTTAATACTTTTTCAAGAAAATAATAAAGGACCATATCATCTTCCCTCTTTCCCCACATGGGCAAGATCAGGCTTGTGATCTGCCTCCAGCTGCCATTCAGCCCCTCACTGGGCAAGGTACACAAAACACAACCACCAGTGAAAGAATGAACAAATAAGTCAGTCTTGCACAATACAATTAAACACAGACCCTCCACTGACTCTCCCATCTATCAGATCAAGTCCAAGCCCATTAGCTTGGCAATTCTCAATGAGGCCCCAGCAAACTTCTCTGACCCTCTCCACAGCTTGTCATAGTCCAGGAAGTCGTAACTCCTCACCACTCCTAATACTGCATGTCCTTAGGTCTCTTGGCCCATGCCTCTCCTCTGCTCAGAATTCTCTTCCACAGGCAAATTGTTCCAATGTGACCTCCTATGCAAAGCCTTCCTCAATGACCCCAGGCTGTTGGTCTCTCTCACCTCTGTGCTCCAATGACACTACATAATAGCTGTTTACTGAATCCTTTTAATGTGCCAGACACTGTACTAAGCTCTTTACCTATATTCTCTTCTATAATCCAGATGACAGTCACATGAGTTGAAATGCTAACACCCATTTTAGAGACTCTGAGGTTCGGAGGTGAACTATCCAGAATCACACTGGTAGAAAGCAGCAGCACTGGCATTTGCACTCAGGTCTGAACAATTCTGCAGTCTGGGCCCTGTGCTGTTCCGCCTCTCGCCTACTGCTCTATATACGAGAGCACCACTCACACCCTGCCGTGCCCTCTCTCCTCACCTGGCCAGCAACTGCTTAGGGAGAGACCATGGCAGATTTGCCTTTACAGCTTCAGTGCACAGGACAGAGCCCCACACAGAGCACTGTGCAGTGAATGCTTGCTGAATGAAAGAACAAAGGAACAACCAACACTGCTATTAAAGAATTTGACATAGAATTTTAATTTTTAAAAAATGACTGGATGTTGTACACCTAAAACTAACACAATGTTATGTTAATTACACCGCAATTAAAAAAAAATTCTTTAAGATATCCAAAACAAAAAAATTCAACTGAATTAAAAATGACTGGAGGCTCCAAGCACTAGCCCTGAAACAGAAGGCTGAGACTTCTGAGCTGAAGAGGAAAATGGAACTTGAAACTTGTGAGGAAATTACTCAAAAGGCCCTAGGGCAATGGACGTCAACACTTGGATCCCTCAAACTGAAGCTCCCTGAGGGCAGGCATCATGGGATTCCCAGGGCCTGACACATAACAGGCCCTTAATAAATAACCCAATGAATGAACTGGGCTGATACACTATCCCTGTGGGTCTCCGTGGAAAAGAAAGCCAAACCCAGCTCCCTATGGGAGCTCCCTGGCTCCAGACCCAGCTCCTGCCACCATCGCCTGTGAATTTAAAACCCCAACTCTGCATGACAGCAAATCAAACATTTTGGCCCAATGAAGAGTTGTCAAAGCTCTTATTTATAAGCTTCTGCTGAATTCCTCTTTTGGCAGAGTTCTCAATTTATCCTTTTCAAAAGCAAAAAATGATACCAAGATTGAACACCACCACTTCTCTCTCGGAAACGTGAGCCCTATGAGTAGCATGCTTGTTTGTCATGCATTTCCCCAGCATCTTTCATCTGCCTTGTTTTGGGTTCTAGCATTTGTAAAGGAACATATACGGGTCTGGCTGAGGCACACAGGGACAGCCCTTCCATACCCAAGCCAAGCTTCTTCCTACACCAAGCTTTGAGTTATATCCAAGGCAGTAAGGGAGAGGAAAGAGAGCCAGAACTCGAAACCTCAGACCTGGATTCCAGTCCCAGCTCCCCATGTCCTCACCGGGGGGACCTGGACGAGTCACTGCACTTCCCTCAGCTAGTCTCATCTCCAAAACTGAGATGATGATGACATCAGTCCCTCCCCTATTCGGACACTTTACAAAATGCTTCCACATAGCCTCACTCTTGATCCCGATTATGTCCTTTTCAGGTAGACGCTGTGCCATCTACCCTATAGATGAGGAAACTGAGGCTCAGAGCAGTCTCATCTACACAATCATGCTTACAAGCGGCAAAGCCAAGGCTGATCCCAAGTCTTCTGACTTGCCCTGCCTAACTCAGAGTACTGTGAGGATCAATGATCTTGTACACAGAGTTAATATGCAAAACTATGTGTCCAGAGAGAAGCAGTGGCTGGGAGGAAGCGCTGTGGGTGCGGGGAACATGAAAGCCTGGGGTGGCAACTTCCCTCTCCACGGTCTGAACAGGACACTCTCTCCTCCTAGAGTAGGCTGACTATCTGTCAGGGCTTTGGCTTCCTCAGGTCTCTGAAAATTAACAAGCTGCCAAAAAATAAAAGGTAGATGAGCAGAAGGGAGGGCCGGCGGCTGCAGTGTGGCAAGAGGCACTCTTGTGCCCTGCAGAGTCAGCTCAGGAAACAAGAAAGAGTGAGGAGGAAAGGAACGCTACAGAGCAGAAGAAAACGTAGATGCCCCTCAGTCCTCAAGGACTTGACAGCTACAGCCTACCTTCCTCTCCAATGCCCTGGCCTCTGGATCAGGCTCCTGGCAGTCCCCTTCCAGGGTGAGAAAGCAAATGCCAGGACCCTGAGCTTCACAGGCTGGTCACACACATATGCCACCTCAACCTGCTAAATCTCTTACTCCTACCAGAAGGAACAGCCCATCAGTGTATCAGACATGCCAGACAATAACTGACTTTTCATAGGGACAAAAGCCCAACTGGGAAATAGCTCACAACTAGCAAGCATGGCACCCCAAAGTAAGATTTTCTTCTCTGTCCCCTCCCAAGAGACCCTCAGATACTGGGGTAATCTATAGTCCCCAGAGCACAGTCACGCCTGCCAATCAGTAGACAGATCTGGCCAAGTCTTTCAGCCGCCTCTCCACTAGAGCTCCAAGGATGTGCAAAGTGACCTTAACTCTCCCAAGAAATGCAAACAACGGCAACAACTTCAAGATAGCCAAACCCCCTAGAATCCTGGAAAATTCTTTATACTTGGAAGCTCCCAGCCACCATCACTCCTTTCTAAGTAGTAGCATCTCTACCATCATTCATGCATAGTGCTGGAAAAGGTCAGGAAGTAACTATGGCCATATTTCCCCTAGTCCTAGAGAACCAACACAGATTAATGTAAGGTATATGGATGTCCACACTGGGCTTTCCTATCTCTGTGCTTCTGTTCATGAGTCCCCCAGCCTAGAATAAAAACCAGAGCTGACATTTACCAAGGTCTTATGACTACGATAAGAGCTTTCCCTCAATAGCCTCATTTAATCCCCACAATAATCCCATAAGGCAGATATTACCACCCTATTTTACTGACACAAAAACAGAAGCTCAGGTGATTAAGTAACTTGTCCCAGGTCCTATCACTGGTAAGCGGCAGAGCAGGATTTGAATAAAGGTCTCTCCAACCCTAGACCCTGTTCTCCTAACTCTGTACGATGTCTCTCCACCCATCCAGATCCCTCCCATCCTTCAAAGTCCTTCGTTGGTCTAGGAATACTGTGTGGAGGCAACAAAACCAATCAGCCTACAGCACCTCACCCTCCTCAGAGTTCCAAGCCCTACTCACTCCCTCTTTTGGCAGACTGGTATCTTGGGCGCCCCCTCTCACCTGCCCCTCTGAGGCAGCATGCTCTGTCCCCAGCATTCCCCAGTGACTGGCACAGCCCTGGGCTGGCAGTGCTCAGTGAGGAGACTTTGAGAAACTTTCTCCTACCCCCCCGACTGCTGAGTCAAGTACCTCGTCACATATGACCAGTCCAACACTCCCTTTCTGGAGGACTCCAACGTGAAGGCGGAATGTCTCATAGGAAATGATGAGGATGGGAGAAGGCACTCTGGCTCCACGCTGGTTCATGAATCCTTCTACAACAGAAAATTTGTCAAGGGAACAAATTTTAGAATATCTTAAAGAAAACACCAGTTTGACAGCTCTTTAATTTAGCCAGGTAGTAAATATTTCAACCATATTCCATGAGAATTCTCTTCTCTTCCACCCCTTCATTGCCCTCAACTCTGGCCATCAGTGAGCACACACTAAGAAAGGAGCATGTGGTGTGGAAAAGTGCAACCATCTTCGTTAAGCCTCCATACCCAGCTTTTGGTCTATCTCATCCTTAGAGCCTCCGTCGATGGCCAGAGGTTGGATCCTCCCTCCAAGCCATTTCCCAACTTCATTGTACCAGTTCTTCACTAGGCTGGAGGGCGACACCACCACTGCCTTGTCAATTTCTGGCTTGCACTCTGGACTCTGGCGCAAAAGCGTCCACATCAACGTGATGCACTGCAGTGTCTTGCCCAGGCCCATCTCGTCAGCCATGATGCAGCCATGGCTGCCAGGGATGCGCCGACTGGTGACACACTCCCACAGGAACTTCACTCCCTGGGGAATAACAGCACTCAGCCCACTTTGGCATCCACACCGCTGCTGCCGCAGGGATGGCAGCCTCCCAGGCTCAACCCCTTAGCCCATACCTCATTCCTCCCATCCCCATTTACCTCTCTCTGATGAGGCCGCAAGACCTTACTGAGAATAGGATCAACAACCACATGGACAGGGAGTTTTTCCCTAAGAAAGCACAGCAAAGAAAACATGAAGCTCAGACATGAGCAAGGGCACGCCCTCAGAAAGTTGTGTCCTGCTGATCCAGAGGCCACAGAGCCAGTTGACTGAGAGAGGACCTCCTTGGCCTGGTAATCAAACCATAGCAAATTCCTGCTCCAGGAGTTAGAAAGTTAGGAGGGGTGATGGATTCCCTATGCCATCACCTCAACCCTTCTTGCTCCCCCGAATGAGCCTAGCTGGAAAGGGTAAGGAACCCCCACCAACTAGACATAACCACATGCTCTTCCCCAGGCACTCCCCTTCCCCACCTATCCACTCTCTGGATGGTGCAGTAGCCATGACAGCACTCTGAAAACATATGCCAAAACCAAGGAGAAATCACACACCAAAATGCCCTCTGCCCTCTCGGGTAAGTGTAGTTAGAGGACCAGAACTGCTCAAGAAATACCAATGCACATACTTGTCAAGCTTCAGCTGGTCATGGGCGCTCAGTGGAGGAGGCTCGTACAGAACCAAGGCACCTTCATCCAGGGGGTCATGGAGGGCCCGGCGGACCCCAGCCCTTTTGAGGCCCAATGCTCGAGAGCCCAGAGGACCTAGAAATCAACATCTGTCACCTAAGCCTCTGCAGTGAGTAGCTCCAGCAGGCCCAGCTCAAATGCCTATCCTTCACATAACCTTTCCCAAGCTCCCATGTGACCCTCTCTCCCCTAGAACCTCTCCAAGCCCTGTATAGGCAACTCCACCTGACAATCATCCCAGTCTGCCTTAGACTAGTTTTTCCCACGTTACTTCTCCCATTCAACTACAAACCTCTGGGGGGCAGGGTCTTGCTCATCTCAACTCAAATGAATTCCGGAAAGGTCTGAAACCCTACAGGGGCCTTTCAAGACTGAGAGCTCTTGAGAGTGGGCCTCCTCCCTCCCCAGTCCCAGTTTTAACACAATGCTATGCCCTACACAGGACAGGGGAAAACTGTGTAGAACCTAGGCCTCTGACAGAGTCAACCTCATAAAGGAGAGGCCATTGAACTCTCTTGGACTGAATGAAGCCTGGGTCCATTAGCCACCCTGGCCCACCAGGAGCTCCCTGAGCTCTGGCACATCCCCAACAAGATGAGGGTCTTGGCAGCCCCTGCTGAAGCTACCAAACACAGCCTTCACGCAGGCCTCAGGATGGTCAGCCCATACACAGTCACCACTGGACTGACGCCTTCAATTCCAAGCTAAGCTTGTATTTACTAAAGCAGAGGTTTTTAATCTATTCAGGCACACTCACACATGAGTGATTAAAAAAACAGAGAAGTCTCCATTTTTTACCTTGATAGTTCGGAATGGGGATTTTGAAAGGCTTTGACAAAATGCTTCGAATAAACGCTTCCTAAAAAGAATGAGAAGAAATAGGAATTCAGCATTGATTGGAGATGTTGTGCGACAATAGTTTTACAATGCAGTCTAAAATGCCTATTTAAGCATCATAATACATTCAGAGCATTGTATTTTGATTATGTCTCATTCAGATGCATGTGGAACATAAGATGCGCTCAATATTACGTTAAGTTTTGTCCAACAGCTTCCGTCTTCGAGGCTTTACATAAGGTTCTACAAATACCCAGGGACAGCAGAGTGCCTTTGGCAAGTGCCGAGCCTCAGTCAACCACAAGTTTCAGACTCATCAGCTCATGAACGACCACGCCAGTGAGGACACCTAGCTATTCCCTAGGATGCAGCACCTCAAGAAGAAAGCACTAGACACTTACCCAACCCCAGTACTAACAGGAAACTCCAAAGTCTGGGTTCAACCACTGTCCTATAGGGCTACGTCTTCTCAAGCACACCTCACAAACCTTTTTTTATCGTATCAATTCTGCCTCTAATTCCCACATCAATTCCTACATCAGCCTTCGTGGGAACTAAAGAGCCCTTCAAAGAGTAGTGGTAACAAGAGTAATAGGAGTAGCAGAATTAGTAAAATAATAATATTAAAAACAACAGCAGGGCCAGCCCCGTGGCCGAGCAGTTAAGTTCACATGCTCCGCTTCGGCGGCCCAGGGTTTCGCCAGTTCGAATCCTGGGCGCGGACGTGGCACCACTCATCAGGCCATGCTGGGGCGGCGTCCTGAATGCCACAACTAGAAGGACCCACAACTAAAAATACACAACTATGTACTGGGGGGGGGGCTTTGGGGAGAAAAAGGAAAAAAAAAAAAAACCCAACAGCAAAAATGACAATAATGTGAGACGCAGTACTAAGCCCCTTGCATTCATGTTATCATTTAAACCTCACTAACAGCCCTATGAGATCTGTTTGATATTACTGGTATCCCCATTTTACAGAGGAGCAAATTGAGACTTAGAGTGGTTGAGTCACTTTCCCAGGTCACACAGCCAAGACAGATGCAGGACTTTCCTGATTCCAGGGCCCTTACTTGTAACCAGTGACAATACAGCCTCCTAACCCAACCTGTTTGAGTATAGCCAAGTGGATCAGCCCAGACTCAGCAGCCTCCTGCCATGGGAAGGCAGAAGAGAGAGAACAAGATGAGAAAGGGGACATAAGAGAAAGGGCAAGCCCATCACCAAGAAAAAGCAAGGGGGACAAAGGTGACAGGAAGCAGACACATGTAGGTCCCAGTCAAGGGTGCCCTTGGTCCCTCCACCTCAGGGCTTGCAGGAAGCCTCTGTGCCATCGCCTCAGCCTGGAATCAGCCCTGGGCTATGGAGCTGGGGCGGGGCAGAGAGCAGCAAGGGGCGTCCACGGCACTAGCTCCTGAGCTAACCCTGACAACTCCCATCAAAGTTTTGGTCTACACACACCTGAGCCCTCTGAAGAATTACAATAGCCTGTGAACCCCAACAAAACAAGAGCTGGAAGCCAAGAGAGCAAGAAGAAAACAAGAGCAGAAAACCTAAAGGTAGTTTTAACGGGAATACATTAGGGAAAAAGAAGTGAAGAGAAAAACTCCCTTCCAGCAAAAAAGGCAGTTTAATGTGGAAAAAAAAAAAAAGCAAGCCTATCTCACCCTGAAATTTTTACCTGTGTATTCTGACCCATTTCTATACCGATCATTATAAATTTCTAGAAACTTCATTTTTTATTACTTTTTTTTTGAGGAAGATTAGCCCTGAGCTAACATCTGTTGCCAATCCTCCTCTTTTTGCTGAGGAAGACTGGCCCTGAGCTAACATCCATGTCCATCTTCCTCTGCTTTATATGTGGGACGCCTACCACAGCATGGCTTGCCAAATGGTGCCATGTCTTCACCCGGGATCCGAACCAGCAAACCCTGGGCCGCTGAAGCACTTAACCGCTGAGCGACCAGGCTGGCCCCTCAGTGTACTTTAAATAGAAAAAATGTAATGAATATTGGTGATCTATTGGAAGATAGAAAAGGAATGTGGATAAGTGAACTTCATTATCACACTAAACAACATGACAAGGGCAGGGTTGGAGAAAGGCCCAATTCTTTGTTTATTTGCATATTTCTTTGCAGCTGAATAAAATCTTTTATTGACTATTTTTAGTTACCATGTTATTATAATTATGAAGAGCAATGATAAGGAAAAACTCATATAGAAAAATGCTAACAAAAAGCTATCTTTAAGTCAAAGAAGAGGAAAAGGAAGGAAATGGACTCTTCCTTTTTAATTTGGCATCAATTCTGCTTTCAATTCTGAAACTGAAATATTATTTTCAAGATTATCAATATAGAAGGCTAGATTTGAGGCTCTGAGTAGCCAAGAATTTATACTCCAAATTTAAAAAGCAAGACTTTCAATAAAACCCGGGAGCCACGGGTTCTGCAGGGAGAACTGCAGGCTTGTGCAACTAGGACAGCAGGATTCTAGGGACCCAGGCCAAAAACGTCTGAGGGCACAGTCCACAAGACTCGCGATGGCCAGCCTCCAGGAATCTGGCCTGGTAATACCCACTAGACTCCAGCAGAGGCAGGGGAGGTGCATGCTCTCACTTTGTACATTTAGTTACTGAAAATTCATACCGTCTTTCCTTCTGGCAGAAGAGGGAGAGCGCTCCTCCTCCCACCAAGGTCGAGGCCTCCCTCTCCTGCAGAGATGCACTCCAGCAGTTCTGCCGTGTCTCTCCTGCATCATCTCTCCCTCTCTGCTGGCTCTTTCTCACAGCATTTAAAACATGCTTAACTATCTCAAAAACAAAAATTCCTTTGACCTCTTATCTCCTCCCTTTCAAACTTCTAGAGTTTTCTGTCTCTCCCTCCTTATCTCCCACACCTCCTATCTATCTTCTGCCCCTTCTACTCCTCTGAAATGACTCTGGCCAAGATCACCAATGGCCTACATGACCCTAAGTCCAATGGATATGCTTCTATCCTTATCTTACTAGGCAAAGCTGGCCATTCCTTCTCAAATATTCTCTGCCTTGACACCACTCTCCCACCATTCCACACTTCCATGACACCACTCTCCGACTATTCCACTTCTCTGGGACCTCATGTTCAGTCCCCTAAGGGGCTCTTCTTCCTCTGCCTAACCCCCTCAAGTCAGTGTTCCTCAGGGCTCAGCCCTCAGCTTTTCTGACTGTACCCCCACCCTGACACTCCAAAACACTTCAGAGGTATGAAATATTATCTCTATGCTAATGACCCCAAATATATTTCCAGTCCATACCTTCCTCCTAGGTTCCATAATCATATTTGCAACCACCTCCAATCCCAGACATCTTACAGGACTTTAAACTCACAGCGTCTAAGGCCAAAGTCCTCATCTCCAGGGCTGCACTACGACTTTTGTGGGCCCAAGGCACTCTTGCCTCTTGGGTCCCTTCCTCCAGTTTTCACACAGGCTCTCCCTTCCATCTAGAACATTTCCCACACTCTTCGCCTGGCTGACCTCTTACATCCTTCAGGACTCAACCTAACCAGCATGTCCCTCAGATTCAGGTCTTCAACCAACCTCCAGACTGTGAGCCCCACTACTGTGTACTCCCACCACACCTGCACTTATGTTACATAGCTACACTGGACAACTTCAATGGATCCTGAATGAAAACTGTCCCAGAGGACTACACACCATTTTTAAAGCTCAAGAAACAAATGACGTATTACTTAGTGAATTATATACATATGGTAAAACTATCACAAAAAAGCAAGGGATGATGAACATAATCCAGGATAATGGTTACCTCTGGGGATGGGAAAAGGGATTATGGCTTTGATAATGTTCCAGTCCTGGATAGTGGGTTCACAGGCACTTATATTGTGTTTTATATCTTACACACGTTATATACATATAACATACATAACATTCTTTTCTTTTTATCAACTACTACATGAAAATGTTTTAAAACGTTTGCTGAATGAACAAACAGCTAACCTCCACTACACATCCTTATCAACATATTCCCATCTTTCCTTCAAAACATCCCTGTAAAGGAAACACACACTCCTGTGTGTCTCTCAATAGTCTACTACAACACTTCACAACCAACACCAGGTGTGTGGGTTTTCCACACGTCGCAATTCTTCGACACCACCTGGGAGTCCTACAGTCTAGCTCAATTCTGACACGATCTACCTGGAGCAAGCATCAGATCCTACAGGTTAAGTGTTCAGCCCCACAAGACTTCTTCCCCCACCCCCACTTCAGAAGCCAATACCAAGTCTACGTTGTTACCTGTGCTTCTGGCCAACAGGCTATAAATTGGAGGTTCCCACAACCCTCTCCTCGGGTTCAAATAATTTGCTCGAGTGGCTCACAGAAGTCAGGAATACAGTTTACTTACTGGATTACTGGGTTATCACAAAGGCTAGTGAAGAATATGAATGAACAGCCAGATGAGGAGATACACAGAAGAGACCTGGGAGGGTCCAGAGCGCAAGAGCTTCTGTCCCAGTGGACAGGGTGCACCACCCTCCCTGCACATGGATGCATTCCTGTTTGCTAACCCAGAAGCTCTCCAAACCCTGTCCTTTTGGGTTTTTTTTATGGAGACTTCATTACCATGATTAAATCATTGGCCAGCGGTGACTGAACCCAATTCTCCAGCCCTTCTTCCCTCCTAGAAATCAGGGTGGGGCTGAAAGTTCTAACCCTCTAATCCTAGGTTTGGTTTCCCTGGCAACCAGCCCTCAAGGTTAGGTTCTTTACAAAGGACATCTCTTTAAAGTAAACTCAGGTGTGGCTGAAAGTGGCTTGTCATGAATAACAAAAGACACCTTTGGTGCTCTTATCACTTAAGAAATTCCAAGGGCAGAGAACTCAAAATCACTGTCCCTCAGAAAGCCTGGTGGAAAGAAGCTTCAGAGCTAGCAGACTTCAGGCAAATTACTTAACCCCTCTGAGACCCGGCTTCCTCATCCTAAAAAAGGAGAATTACATGAGATAATGCACAAAACCTGCCACGGTGATGCTTAAGTTTGACCTCAGTAGAGGAAATACGTGAAAGCTATAGGACTGCGATACTCCTTACAGCCACACGCAGAGTCAGAGACTGAGCTGGCAGGAGGATCCTGGCTCCAACGCCTTCCCTCTCCTCTACCCTCCTGTCCTGCGGAATCTGAGCCACCTGAGAGCTGGTGCCCAAGAACCTATAAACAAAAGGGACTCCAAGTCCAGCGCACATCTCTAAGGAAAGAGGCCAGGCCTCTCTCAGGCCGCGGAGCTGTGGGCAGGCTCAAAGCTCCCCATGAAGTTTATCTGTACAGCACTCTATACAGCACTGACGGAATCTTCAGGGACGAGAGGGTCCCTATGCAAAACAGGGCACACACATACACCGGCAGGCGGTAGCTGACTTACATGTTGACTACTGTCCAGACAGGGTGGCCGATTCGTTAGTTGAGTCAAAGCTTTCCGAAAAGGAGACAGGAAACTTTCCTGGCTCTGTGTCTCACTGCTGGATTTCCGTTTCTTAGGAGTCTAGGAGAGAGTATTGAAGAAGGTGAAGTCTGGAAGACCCGGGTGTTCACTACAATGGCAACTAATACTTAAAATGCTTATTAAGTGCCAGGCACTATGTTAAACTCTTCACATGTACTATTGTGTATCTTCTTCACAGTCACGCTATGACATAGGTTTATTATCATCCTTATTTAAGAGGTGAGAAAACCGGAGCTGAATGAGGTTAAAGAACCTGCCTAAGGTGAGGAGGGACAATGGAAGAGGTGAATGACGCCTGCGAAGGGCAAATCCGGCAGGAGCATGGAGTCATGCTGCCTCCAAATCTACACTCCAAAAGCCCCAAGGAATGACTGAGCAACCGTTTGCCCTGAGTACTGCTGCCCCCAACTCCCGGGCCACTGAGGCCACTCCCCAGTCAGTCAACACCATGGCCATGAGGACACTAGAATGGAATTTATTTTCAGGAGTCAACCAGCAGCAGCCAGCACCATTTATGACCTAGCTGCACCAAGTGCTACCCCAAGTTCAAGTCTGAGACCTATGTAAGTGGCAAGGGGCAGCCAGTGTGCCTCCCTCACAGGCAGAGGAGCCCCCTGCACACTACTGGTGCAACTTACAGAGCAAGCTCTACCACGCCATCAGGCAAGAACCCACTTGTACCAGCTTGCCAAGCTATATGAAGCATCAATGATGCTGTAAGACACAGATGAAACAGAAGCACCAAGCTCCTTCCCCTCTCAACACGTGCTTTGGCTCATACACTACCCCTGCCCAAAATTGCCTTCTAGACATTCCTTAGCTAATCCCTTCCTCCAAAGTTTGAGCGGCCAAGCCCCTGCTTCTTGAACTGCTCTCTCTCTCTCTCTCTGAAGTACATGCCCCATTGCCCTATTAATTTTGGTTTACATAGGTCCTGCCCATAGCCAGCCCCAGAAAGCCTCCAAGGCAGGAAGCAGAGCACAAGGCCCAGTCCAAAGTCAAAGATGTTGTCCTTGAATGTCAGCAGGGACTGGAGGGGCACCATCCCTCCAATCTAGAACCAAACGAGTCCAGGACCCTCAGGTAGGCCCAGTATACTCTACTGCACTGGGCAGGGGACGAAAGGCAAAAGGGCAAGCTGCTAGTTGCTGCTGGGGGGCTCTTTTTTTCCAAGGGAGCCAAAGGGCCAATCCAAGCTGCTCTTTTGCTTTGGAATACCTCTTCCTACCAGAGAAATTGAGGCTATATTAGCTTCTAGTGAGCACCTTGAGGACAAAGATTTTATTGATCTTGTCCAATGCCTGACACATGGTAAGCATATATGAAAGAGGCTTCTGGGGCCTCTTTGATATGTGCTTACTATAAAACATACGGAGGAGGCTTCTGTAGGTGACCAGGTTCATTCCATCTAACCCCAGAAACCAAGATCAGGCTTCCTTTTGGCTGGAAACCCTGCATCCCCACCTTCCTTACCCCATTTAGGGCGGAGTACTCACCACTGCCCCAGGCTGCCAGTCTTCATCATCAAAGGCTCTGCCTTCTGGTTTTCTCTTGGCCAGCTGGCTGGGAGCTAAGCTTCTCCTCTGTTAAGGGGAGAATGAAAACTGAGCACCAGCATGGATCCTGCAGCCTGAGCCTATTAGACCCAAACACAAGGCTACCCACAGTCTTCTCTGGACCCACACTTACCATCCTGGGCCCAGGAGCATAAGACGTCAAGTACCCATCAGCCAAAGGTCAAAGGCGCCGAGCAGCTAAGAATGCAGAACCAGGGCCTGGTAAAGAGCGGGCTGCTGTATTACTAAGAGGATGGGCTAATTAAAGAGGGAGCACGGATGGAGGGATCCCAGGCAGGGGCTAGGGTTTGGGCCCAAACTGTAAGAGTGTCGGTAGCCAGTCAGCCGAGGCAGGAGATCGGGCCAAAGAGGAAATGTCCAGGGAGAGAAGAGTAGAGGTCTGGGATGAGGCAGGAGACAGGTGGAGTGCAGGACCGGAAGAGTGGAGTCGGGATAAAGGTCCCAGGTGGACCGGTGAGGGGTGGTGCGGAGGGGGGGAGGGGGGGAGGTAGCTGAGGGGGAAGGTAATCACAGGCCAGAAGAGAGATGCTGGAGTGAAAATCCGAGGCCCGGGGAGGGCGAGGCGCCCGAGTCCGGAGAAGGGGGATTTCCCAGCCTGGAGTGCGGATGGCAGGCCCGGACAGAGGGAGGCAGGGCAGGGGTCCAGGCGGGACAAGAAGCAGACCCGGGCTTGAGAGCGGAATCCCAGGCGGGGTTGGAAAGAGCGGCAGAGATGAAGTCGGACCCAAGCGCTCCCGCCGGCTCAACCTTCCTCTTCCCAAAGCGCGCGTTAACAGCCGCCAGGGCTCCCCGGTCCCGCCAGGCTCGGTCAATCGAACCTCCCGCGGTGCTGCCGCCACACCACCCATTGGCTGCGTTCGATGCGTTCGGCGCTCGCGACCCAAGGAACGGGGCGGGCCTAGTGCTGCGCCAACGTGCGGCCTGGCTCTGCGGCGGAAGCGGCCCACGGCCCTCTAGGAGGCGGGGCTTAGAGGGAGGGCGGGGCCGACAGCGGCGGGTGGGCGGAGCGCGCAGGCCCCGGCGGGCGTTTTGTGCCCGCGGGCCGGACTCTGGCTCTGGTCCCTCGGCGTTTGTCGGAGGCTGGTGACCTGGTCTTTCAGCAGCTCAGGTGACGATTTGCACCAGCCTGAGCTGCGGGGGAGTTGCCACCCGTCTGCGGAATCCTGAGGATGATGAAAGGCGGCACATGTCTGCATCCCCCCTGACTCGGACCTGGAGCGGAGGTCCCGGGTTGGAATCGGAAGTCGCCCACCCCGAGTGTGGTGGGAAGTCCCTCAGCCAGGACGACCTACGATGAGGTCGGCTCTGGCGGTGAGAGCCCCCAGGGGACGTGATGTTTTGGTCCGGGGTGTGTTGGAGGAAGCTACCTTCCTTTGCTTGGCAAAACTGTGTTGGTGGAAGTGTGGTTTTTGGAGTCAGGCTTGATCCCAGAAATTCACTCTCTCAAAAATTCAGTTTCTTCATATCTAAAATGTGCATCGGATTAGTACCTTCCCCACAAGGTTATTTTCAGAATTAAGTAAATTAATGTGTCTAAAGTACTCAACACAGTGCCTGGCACAAGCTGGGTGCTCACTAATGATAATAAAGGTATGCACGCAGCGCTTACTACCAGACACTTAGAAGTGATGTGATAATTCGTTCAATGCTCACAACTATGAGGTAGGCTTATTGTTCTCATTTTATAGGTGAAGAAACAGGCTCAGAGAGGCTGGTAACTTGTCCAAGGTCACACACCTGATGAGAATAGCCAGGATTGAATTTAGGCAATCTGGCTTCAGAGCCATTGTTCTTAGCGGCCAGGCTATTGTTGGGGCCCAGGGCAGGCCACCCCAAAGTATCCCACAATGGCATACCGATTATTTTGAATTAAAGTTACTTGAGAAGCAGCCAATGCAAAAAAAAAAAAAAAAAAAAAATGCATTTTGCTTCTCCTCTCTCTCTTCCCCATGAAAGCAGGAAATAAATCTCCCTTGTGAAAGGTGCTCCCTGCATTCTTATCACCAGAGCTGGGTGATTCAGGGAGGAGAAGCTGCCTGCTTTGTTCACTCTCCGAGCATCATTTCTTTATGATCTCTAATACATACGTATTAAACTGGGCTCTTCTGCTAATCTGGGCTTGTGTCAATTCTAGTATTAGTCCAGCCATAAAAACACAAGAAGGGAAGAAGGGAAATTCCCGCTCCCCAACAGTATGTATGGCAAGGAAGAGCAGAGCTGGGTTTTGTGGGGCCTGAAGTTTTTGTAAGTACTTATTGAGACCCTCTAAAATTAGGTAAAGGCTAAAATTGGGTATACATATTAATATTTATTTAGAATGAGAAAAAAACACCCAGTATGGAATCTTGGAAATTTAGGTCCCTTTCTTTCAAAACCCCTTTAGGCAATTTATCAGATTGCTTCCTGTTGCAGTCTGGCTTCTTCCCAGTTTACACACTCTGATTACAAATCCCCAGTAACTTCAGCACTTCCAGGGTTTGTGCAGGTGGGCCCTGAAGCTTACTCTTAGCTTCACAGTAAATCTGCCTCTGATAACTATTACTGTTTCAGGGGGTGGAGAACAATAATTTTTTACTTACTGATTTTTTTTTTTTTTTTGGTGAGGAAGATTGGCCCTGAGCTAACATTGGTTGCCAGTCTTCCTCTTTTTGCTTGAAGAAGATTGTTGATGAACTAACATCTGTGCCAGTCTTCCTCTGTTTTGTATGTGGGGTGCCGCCACATCATGGCTTGATGAGTGGTGTGTAGGTCTGCACCCAAGATCCAAACATGCTAACCCCAAGCTGCAGAAGCCAAGCATGTGAACTTCACTACGCCATCGGGCTGGCCCCTATTTACTGATTTTTTTAAATTAGTTTTTTTATTTTGAGATAGTAATTGCAGATTCACATGCAGTTGTAAGAAATAATACAGAGAGATCCTGTATGTCCTTTACCTGGTTTCCCTTAATGGTAACATCTTGCAAAACTACAGTACAACATCGTGACCAGGATATTGACAATAATACAGTTAGGAAACAGAACATTTCCATCACCACCTGAGGATCCCTCATGTTGCCCTTTTATAGCCCAGCCCATTCTCTCCACTTCTACGCATTCCTTAATCCCTGGTAACCAGTAATCTGTTCTTCATTTCTACAGTTTTGTCATTTCAAGAATGTTTTATAGGGGGCAGGCCCAGTGGTGCAGCGGTTAAGTTCACATTCTCCACTTCGGTGGCCCAGGGTTTGCCAGTTCGGATCCTGGGTGCGTACTTAGGCACTGCTCGTCAAGCCACGTTGAGGCAGCGTCCCACATAGCAGAACCAGAAGGACCTACAACTAGAATATACAACTGTGTACTGGGGGGCTTTGGGGAGAAGGAAAAAAAAAAGAATGTTTTATAAATGAAATCATATAGTATGTAACTTTTTAAATTGGCTTTTTTCACTCAGCATAATTCATCTGGATTGTTGCATGTATGTATATCAATTGGTTTCTTTTTGTTGCTGAGTACTATTCTATGGTATGGATACTCCTCAGTTTATTTAACTAGTCACATGTTGAAGGATATCTGGGTTGTTTCCGGTGTTGGCTATTATGAACTGCTATAAGCATTCATGTGCAGAGTTTTGCATGAACCTAAGTCTCATTCTCTGGGATAAATGCCCAGGAGTGCAATTTCTAGGTTGTAGAGTAGTTGCATGCTTAGTTTTTTAAAAAACTGACAAATTGTTTTCCAGAGTGGCTATACAATTTTATATTCCCATCAGCAACGTATGAGTGATCCACTTTCTCAGTATTCTCGCAAATGTGGTGGTGTCACTATTTTTTTACTTTAGGTGTGAAGTGATATCTCACTGGGCTTTTAATTTGCATTTCCCCAGTTGCCAATGATGAACATCTTTGCATGGGCTTATTTGACATCTGTATATCCTCTTCAGTGAAATGCCTCTTCATAACTACTCTTGCCCATTTTCTAATGGGATTGTTTGTTTTTCACTGTTGAGTTTTGAGCATAATTTATATATTCTAGATAGTAGTCCTTTGTCAGATATGTGGTTTGCAAATATTTTTACCCATTCTGTAGCTTGTTTTTTCATCCTCCTGACAGACTCTTCTGCAGACCAAGCATTTTTAATTTTGATGAAGTACAATTTATCAATTTTTCCTTTTTATGGATCATGATTTTAGTGCCAAGTCTAAGAACACTTTGCCTAACCCTAGATCCCAAAGATTTTCTCCCATGTTTTTTCAAAAAAGTTTTGTAGTTTTATGTTTTACATTCAAATATGTGATCCATTTTGAGTTAATTTTTGTATAACATGTGATATTTAGTAGAGATTCATTGTTTTGCCTATGGATGTTCGATTGCTCCACCACCATGTTAAAAAGTGATTAAAGAAGACAATTTAGGTCATACAAACTGTATTTAACACTTCATGAAGCAGACGGTCACTGTTAGAGAACTGCAAAATGGGGTGGAAGGCAGGAAGCTTTTACAGGATAAAAGATAAAGAACAAGGAAGAGAAAAATAGAAAATATCTGACCAGCTGGGGCCACATAGTCAACCTAGTTTGGGGTGAGAAGGAACAAGGAAATAAGCATAGAGCCCTGAGTTGGCTTGTTGTTTGGGGATTAGCTGACTGAATATACTGCATTTCTGTTCAAACAGAGCATTTATAGGAACACAAAAGTCACCTAAGTTTCAGTTTGCTGATGTGGCATCCTGGGCAGGAGTGGCTCCATCTTGGACCTAGAAATTTATTTCAACAACCATTTGTTGAAAGGCTATCTTTCCTCCATTGAATTGCTTTTACACTTTTGACAAATCAGTTGGGTATATTTGTGTGGGTATATTTCTGGGATCTCCATTCTGCTCCATTGATCTCTGTGTCTGTCCCTCTACCAATACTGCACAGTCTTGATTACTATTGATATAAGTGTTGAAACAGGGTAGACTGATTCCACCCACTTTATTTGCTTTTTTGAAATTGTTTTAGCTTTTCTAATTCCTTTGCCTTTTCATATAAATTTGAGAATAATCTTGTCAGTGTTTACAAAAAAATCTTCCTGCGATTTTGATGGGAATTTCATTTAACTCGTGTATCAATTTTAGGGAGAATTGACATCTTCATTATGTTGAAACTACCAATCCTTGAACACAGTATGTTTTTTTCATTTATCTCATTCATCAGCATTGTGTAGTTTTTGGTATGTAAGTCTTGCATGTATTTTTTCAGATTTACACCTAAGTATTTCTCTTTTTTCTGCTTTTTCTCCCCAAATCCCCCTAGTACATAGTTGTATATTTTTTTTAAGATTTTTTAAAATTTTTTCCTTTTTTCTCCCCAAAGCCCCCCAGTACATAGTTGTATATTCTTCGTTGTGAGTCCTTCTAGTTGTGGCATGTGGGACGATGCCTCAGTGTGGCTTGATGAATAGTGCCATGTCCGCGCCCAGGATTCGAACCAACGAAACACTGGGCCGCCTGCAGCGGAGCGCGCGAACTTAACCACTCGGCCACGGGGCCAGCCCCAATAGTTGTATATTTTTTAGTGTGGGTCCTTCTGGTTGTGTCATGTGGGACACCACCTCAGCATGACCTGACCAGCGGTGCCATGTCCGTGCCCAAGATCCAAACCAGCGAAACCCTGGGCCGCCAAAGCAGAGTGCGCGAACTTAACCACTCAGCCACCAGGCCAGCCCTGTACACCTAAGTGTTTCTTTTTTTTTTTTTTTGAGTGATTATAAATGGTATTGTATTTTCAGTTTTGGTGTCCACATGTTCATTGCTAATATATTGAAGTGAAGTTAATTTTTGTATGTTTATTTTGTATTCTGTGACCTTGATGAACTCACTTATTAGTTCTAGGACGTTTTTTTATAGAGTCCTTGGGATTTTCTACGTAGACAATCATATCATCTGCACATAGGGGCAGTTTCATTTCTCTTTCCAATGTGTATTTATTTTATTTCCTTTTCTTGCCTTATTGCAATCGCTAGAACTTCCAGCATTATGTTGAATAAAGTGGTAAAAGAAGACATTATTTTCTTGTTCCCAGTCTTAGGGGGAATACATTCATTCTTTCACCATTATGTATAACCTTAGCTGTAGGTTTTTTGTAGATGCTCTTTAACAAGTTGAGGAGTTCCGCTCTATTCCTATTTTTGTGAGAGGTTTTATCATGAATGGCTGTTGAATTTTGTCACATGCTTTTTCTGTATCAATTGATATGATCATGTGATTTTTCTTCTTTAGCCTGTTAACATGGTGGATTACACTGATTAATTTTTGAATATTGAACTGGCCTTGCATCCCTGAAATAAACC